TTAATTTTGGAAAATACTGATGAAAAGTCCAATTAAATTTTTTTGAACGGGTAATCGGTTCGGGGCAGTGCACCATCGCTAAATACCATACTCGCCCCTAAGTGAAGCGGTTCATTAAAATCAAAACCATAACCACCCCATTGCACCATTGGTTTGGTTTTTTTTTGCCCCATTCGATTCGGTGAATCGCGGTTTTCGGTTTTCACAGTTCGAATTGCCATCCCTAGTCATATGCCAATTTAGAATGACGGTTGTGAATCGATGATAAATTAAAAGGGAGTATTTTAATTTATCGATATTGATTATATCAAAATAATAATTTACGTCTTTAAATATCGTGATCGGAAACCTAATGGGTCACACACAAAAGGAGAACTGGAAAAATAAGATTCGCCAATTAATTAACAAATGTTGGATAATTAATTAATTTGGTTGCTTGTTAACATGCCTGAATTAATTAATTTGATTAATTAATTCATGGATCAAATTTAATTAATTGAATTAATTAAATATTAGATCGAATTAAGTTTAAGAGACGGATCGAACCCACTTAAACTTATATTAATAAACTATTAGGGTTTCAGAAAAATTGAATATAATACAATTCATTATCTTGCCAGCACAAAAAAAGAGAAATTTAATTCTCTCATTCTTGTTTCCTATGTGAATTTTTATTGGAGGCTAGACAATTGTACAGCTATGAATTGTAGATCGTTCTTGTTCGTGTTCGATGATCAGTAAAAGAGTTTGCAGAATTTACAAAATGTATAATTCCCATTACAATTTTTATCTAAACACAAAGTAAATTCTTTGTGGAAATTAAAATTATTTTATTTTTCGAAATGAATATTTAAGTAAATCCCCAACATTCAGCACTTGGGCCTTAAAAAGTTGCCAAGGAATCATATTTTTTTCTATTCCAAGAAGTTGCCTAATTATAGCGATCTAGTTTCATTATTCGGAAGCCATATCCTTGACGGATACTAGTTTTTGTAGAAAAGACGTTTAGCCTTAAGATTGCAAGATCACAATCCAAAAATAGATTGCGTTTTGTACATTAACCTGACTTTTTTTCA